ATACAGAGGAAGGTTAATTGAAAGTGTATTGATGATGGTTGATCATTATTTTTAAGTGTATTGATGACGGTTGAGCGTTATTTTTGATATTAGGAAATACAGAGGAAGGTTAATTGAAAGTGTATTGATGATGGTTGATCGTTATTTTTGATAGCAGGAGATGTAGAGGAAGATTAATTGAAAGTGTATTGATGATGGTTGAGCGTTATTTTTGATATTAGGAAATAGAGAGGAAGGTTAATTGAAAGTGTATTGATGATGGTTGAGCATTATTTTTAAGTGTATTGATGATGGTTGAGCATTATTTTTGATACTAGGAAATACAGAGGAAGGTTAATTGAAAGTGTATTGATGATGGTTGAACGTTATTTTTGATATTAGGAGCTCAGAGCATCCCAGGCACACACAGGACAGGACAGGAGGAGCTTTCTGTGCCCTGTGGGTGAGGTGAGGAATTGTTAGGAATTGTTTCAGGATGAGATTGAGCCCCACATGCACCTCCCAAACCAGGGGAACACGGAGCAAAACCCCCTTTAGGAATCCTGGTGTGCACCCCCCAATGCCAGAGGGGCACAGGAGGGAAGGGTTAACCCAACCACGGGGCTGTGAGGGTAAAAATTACCAATTAACTGCTTGCTGTTAATGAGTGCATTCCCACCGGGAAGCAGCTGGAGCCTGGGGATGTGCCCTGGTTAAACAGTGATGGCCTGGAGGGCACTGGGAGCTGGGCATGGGCAGGGCTGGGGCACAGAGAGCCCGGGGGCAGCACCCGGGAGGCTGGACAGGGACAGGGACAGGGAAGGGAAGGGACAAAGGACAGCACCAGGAAGGGCCTTGGGGACAATCAGGATCAGCCCCAGGAGCAGGGACAGCCCCAAGAAGAGCCCAGGACAGATCTGGGAACAGGGACAACCCCAGGAACAGAACAGGAGCAGGAACAGCCCCAGGATGGGCTCAGGATCAGAAACAGCCTCAGGAACAGAACAGGAGCAGGAAGAGCCCCAGGACAGGTTCAGGATCAGGATCAGGGACCGCTCCAGGAACAAAAACGGGATCAGGAACAGCCCCAGGAACAAGAACAGGAGCAGGGACAGCCTAGGATGGGCTCAGGATCAGAAACAGCCCCAGGAGCAGCCCTAGAGCAGCCCCAGGAGCAGGGACAGCCCCAGGATGGGTTCAGGAGGAGGAGCAGCCCCAGGAACAAGAACAGGAGCAGGAACAGCCCCAGGATGGGCTCAGGATCAGAAACAGCCCCAGGAACAGCCCCAAGAGCAGGAAGAGCCCCAGGACAGGTTCAGGATCAGGGACAGCTCCAGGAACAAAAACGGGAGCAAGAACAGCCCCAGGAACAAGAACAGGAGCAGGGACAGCCTAGGATGGGCTCAGGATCAGGAACAGCCCCAGGATCAGAAACAGCCCCAGGATCAGAAACAGCCCCAGGATCAGAAACAGCCCCAGGATCAGAAACAGCCCCAGGATCAGAAACAGCCCCAGGATGGGCTCAGGAGCAGAAACAACCTCAGGAGCAGCTCCAGGAGCAGGGACAGCCCCAGGATGGGTTCAGGAGCAGAAACAGCCTCAGGAACAGCCCCAGGATGGGCTCAGGAACAGCCCCAGGAGCAGAAACAGCCTCAGGAACAGAACAGGAACAGCCCCAGGATGGGCTCAGGAGCAGGA